GAGGTAGAGCCGGGAAGAGAAGGCAAAGGCGAGGGAGTAGTGTTGTTTTTAAGACCTGGCCTTGTTTTCTTGTTATCCTCTCAAGTAACCATTTTTGTTTGCTTTTCTCTTTGTAGGTAGCTGTTAATAAATAGTTTTGCTTTAAGAAAACAGCCTCTTTTGCCCGGGACCGTGGTTGGTGGGTGCTCCTCTGTTCCTGTCTCGATCCTCAGCTCTTTTATTACATTTTTCTCCTCTCCATTTTACTGGGGTGGGAGAGCTGCGTGGGGTTTAGTTGCCGGATCGGCCTAACCCACGACAACTTCCTTAAAGCTGGATGGATTGCCTGTCAATGCTGTGCAATTTACATTACACAGCAGTCCAGGAATAAGTTAACTGCAATGCAACAGAAAACGTTTCTTCATATGTAACTTAAAGAAAGCTATTGGGCTGTGTGCAATCTGAAGTAGAGATGCCAAAGGTAGTCTCAGACACAATCCCCCAGAGGATATATACAGACAGAAGTGTCTGACAAGCAGAAAGACAAAAAAATTAAGGAAAAAAAAAAAAAAAGGCGTGGTTAATACTATGAAAAGACTGATGAACTCTCATGGTTGTAAGGACCACAACTTACGCTTCCAAGGAATTTTTTGTTCTCAAGGAAATTGCACAGTAAAATTTGGAATTAGAAGAGCAATTCATGTCCTTTGTCTGTGTATCATGGCAATCACTTTTTAAAGTCCATCGAAACTCATCCTGAGTCTATTGCCTGATATGATAAAATTACAGCCTGGAAAGACTGTTAAGTCAAGCTTGGGGCCCACAGTTCCTTACACTGTCGTGGTGCCAGAAGACTCCAGGAACTTTAAGGTTATTTTAATTCTGATGCTGAAATGCAGCAAGAGAATAATGCTGAAGTAATGCTATCTGTTATCACTAGCATTTTACAGTAACTTAGTTAACTAATTTTTTTAATACCTAGGTATGTAATTTAAGTCTCTCAAAATTATCCATCCTGCAGGAAGAAAAGACACGGAATCCTATCAAAGCTCAATACTAAGGACAAAGCTAGCAAACATTTTATATATTTAGTATCAGTTACACAAGTCAATAGTTTCTCTGTCACAGGCAGACCACTGCTTCATGACATAGAAACATTTTGGTTAAAAATATCAGTCTTTTGGGAATTCCCATCTTCACAATTACCAACTGTTTACAAATATTAACTGCTGCTTCAAGATTTGAGCTCCTAATTGATGCCGTAATCTGTCAGAGGAAATGCTTCTAGGTTTTAGTAACAGCTGCTGAAATTGGAGATTATCAGGTGCATTGCATAAAATCTCTTGCAGACAAATACACAGAGTAGCAACGGTACATGTAGAAAAAGTTTGCTCTGTCAGCAAGATATGAGAACTGTGGTCAACACTTTTCAACAAAACATTCATGAGGTAAGATTAATGGAGTTGATATATTAAGAGCTCACGTGGTCTGATATAAAGCTGGAACTAAGGGAAGAAGATAGATGACATTTTGAGGCATGTTTTGGATTTGCTCCTCCTCATACCACTTCCTTAAAATCAGAAAAGGAAAAGCATGACATACCCTGCACCTCTTACAGCATTTTCAATCCTGGTCTTGAAAAAAGGCATAGAACATTTTAACATTCTTACCATGAGATTCCAGTCCAGCTCCCTGTGCCAGGCCGTTATCGTAAGACTGAAGAAAAAAAACCCCACAAACCAGTTACTTTATAATCATATCACTTTCATAGACATTGCTATTTCTCATTTTACCAGCAAAACTTTCATCAGACCATAATCATTATTTAACTTGATTAAATTCTGAACCTACATCTCAAAAATCTCTTGGGATAAAGCAGTTAACAAATCAACCTTGTTTCAATGCAGGCATCTTTCATGACCTTCATGGAGTTCATTTTAGTTGTGATGTATGTTAAAAGTCTGAAAATTGGTAAACGTGTCTTTGCCAAAAAGGGAAAGCAGTGATGTAGATAACCACTAAAGAAAAAAACCAAACCAAAACGCAACAATTTTTTGGTCTTTATAAAAAGAGAAAATCGATATGTAATTCCAAACAAAATTAAGTTAATAAATTAAATCTGTCTCTAACCTAAAAGCTGGTTAACATACAAGGCAAAATGAAAGGTACTACTGTGCATACAGTACTCAAGCACAAGAAATGCTTTAGTAAGGAGCAGGAATATCAGGCTTTAAAAAAACCTAAGAACGGAGGGGAGGAAACCAGAAGCAACAACATAATAAAGCAGCACACTTTTGGACTAAACTTGATCTGCCCTACAAAATAACAGTTAAAAATGCCTTAACAATGCTGAAAAAACACTTTAAGTGAAAGAGAAAGGAGAAACTTGAGTATGACGAACAAAGCACCAAGAATATTATACTACAGGCCTGTTATGAGCAATCTAGGAGCAGATGATACCGTATATACGTGGGAATAACAATCTTTCTTCCCTAAAAATGCATTAAATCATCTTGCATGATAAGAAACAAGAGATCACAGTAAGTTATTCATAAAATGGAAAACGTTTATTTTAAAACAGTTCATAGAATACTTAACAAATCATCACTAGAAAAATACCAAACTATTTACTAGGAACAAAAACGAAGTTTAACTTTTGAAATTAAATTACACAGGTCCTACATCTTCTATATCAACTGCTCAATTAATGGTTGGTGCACTATCTGATCAGATAGTTGGAAAGCAATTTTAACTTCCCCTCTCCCCCGCCACCCCGGTGCTGGCTATGAATTTTTCATGTTTTCTGCAAAACATTTAACAGTAGCTAGTAGACACAGCACACCCTGACACATCACTAACGACTCCCACAGTCCTAACCAAAGAACGGCTACAGGAGCTATCGTGTCTTTAGGAATGACCTGCAGCTGAGTTTGTAGATCTGTTTTTAAAGCTGACACTGAGAAGAAATAAAGAAGCAGAAGCAGACACAGAAGCTACATTAAAACTATATTCTCAGTTTTTGAGTTATTGCTGCAAGCTGAAGCAACTAAAAAGAATAACATCTGATACATACACTTCAGCAGGTTCACTTCAGAAGGTTGACCTTCTAAAGTTTGAACCAGTCAGTTTTAAGTAAGTAACCCCTACAAACATCTGAATGTTAAAACACACAGCAGCCTAGAGTTTTTCCACTGCCTTTTTAGAATGAATGCAAATGTGCTACCACACTCCACAGACCCACTAATTGCTAAGCAAAGGCAGGCTGATTAGCAAAGCTATGCTGGCAAAGCTAATTAACTCTACAAACAGTAATTGTAAGAGGAGGTGGTTTGCTTTATGTATGACAAATTAGCTCTGGAGAAAAGCTGTTAAATGTGCATCCCAGACAGTGTACTATGTTGGGCTGTACAATTAGCTTGAAATTTTAATAGACAATAGCTGACCTTTGCTGGACTGGTGCTGATTTATTTACAGACATCAGCTGCTCTTTGGGGACTTGTGTGCATTAAAGAACTAGGGAAATATTTTTGTTTCTTTGTCCTTTTGAAAAGACCCAGGAAATTACATGCAAAAGAGGCTCTAGGCTACTGCAACATGAAAACCGCGTAATTAAATACTACCCCCAGAAAATACGTAAACCAAGTTGGGTACAATCTTTGCTTCAGAGTCTAAAACTTCACAACCAGTTTAATTACATCAACAGACTCATATACCTGCATTTCAAGAGGACTCTACTATACTAGAAGAAGCAGAGGCTATAATTAAAGCTTTTTGCAATACCTCTACTTAAAAACCAAATTTGCAGTAAACCAAGGAATGTTGCAAAAAGTAGTATTTTAGAGGCTGTGGAAGTCATTCAGAATTTCAGCATCTTAGCATCTGTTGTTGTTTGATTAGTTATGTATCTGACTTTTGAATGTGAAAGCCAAAAATCAACCTATGCAGATAAAAATTGTGTGATTTGAACCTGACAGTTTTAGTGACATTAAAACTGACCCAGAATCATTTTTGTGATCAGTACTCTACAAATACTTTTTAGCCAAGTGATAAAAAGAGTGCTATCCATTCTGTATGAAAATTCAATTCTTTTTAACATAAGTTTTTTGAATAAAGCAACACCATTGTTTCAAGTTACAATCTTCTGCTGTTCTTGACATGCCTAACTACACAAACTCCCTCTCTCCTTCAGCTATACTGAATTACATCTGCCACAATTCTTATACTGTATCACTAAATAGAATAAATTCCAAAGAATAAGCTAAAAAATCCAGACACTTATTACAAAGATTACTGTGTTTAACCAGTCATGCTACTCTCCATCCAGATTAGTTGCACTTAAAACGTACGTCAATTTGAATGAGTGAAGAAAAGTTTGTATCACTTGCTTCATCTATGTGCAAACGATGACATACGATAGCAAAACAAAACCGTACCTTTCTCTCACAGCAGTTTACTGTTAAGCAATGCAATCCCTTTTGTTTTATAATTAATGGAACTACCAGAACAAGGTAACATCATAGCAAAACAAGGTGGACAAGTCCATGGGACCAGATGAGGTGCATCTGCGGGTCCTGAGGGAACTGGCAGATGAAGTTGCTAAGCCACTATCCATCATATTTCAGAAGTCGTGGCAATCTGGTAAAGTTCCCAATGACTGGAAAAGGAGAAACATAGCCCCCATCTTTAAAAAGGGGAAAAAAGAAGACCCAGGGAACTGCAGGCCAGTCAGTCTCACCTCTGTGCCCGGCAAGATCGTGGAGCAGATCCTCCTGGCGACTACGCTAAGGCACATAGAAAATAAGGAGGTAATTTGTGACAGCCAACATGGCTTCACTAAGGGCAAATCCTGCCTGACTAATTTGGTGGCCTTCAGTTTTGTGGTGTTGTGGAAACGGTGGAGGGAAGGGATGCCATCCAGAGGGACCTTGACAGGCTGGAGAGGTGGGCCTGTGAGAACCTCACGAAGTCCAACAAGGCCAAGTGCAAGGTCCTGCATGTGGGTCAGGGCAATCCCATGCACAAGTACAGGCTGGGTGGAGAATGGATTGAGAGCAGCCCTGAGGAAAAGGACTTGGGAGTGCTGGTGGATGAGAAGCTCAACATGAGCTGGCAATGTGCGCTGGCAGCCCAGAAAGCAAATCGTATCCTGGGGTGTATCAAAAGAAGTGTGGCCAGAAGGTCGAGGGAAGTGATTCTGCCCCTCTACTCTGCTCTCGTGAGACCCCACCAGGAGTACTGTGTTCAGCTCTGGAGTCCCCAACACAAGAAGGGCATGGAACTACTGGAGCGAGTCCAGAGGAGGGCCACGAAGATGATCCGAGGGCTGGAGCACCTCTGCTATGAAGACAGGATGAGAGAGTTGGGGCTGTTCAGCCTGGAGAAGAAAAGGCTCCGGGGTGAACTTATAGCAGCTTTCCAGTACCTAAAGGGGGCCTACAGGAAAGATGGAGAGGGACTTTTTACAAGGGCGTGTAGTGATAGGACAAGGTGCAATGGATTTAAACTGAAAGAGGGGAGATTTCAATTAGATATAAGGAAGAAATTTTTTACATTGAGGGTGGTGAGGCACTGGAACAGGTTGCCCAGAGAAGTTGTGGATGCCCCATCCCTGGAAGTGTTCAAGGCCAGGTTAGATGAGGCTTTGGGCAACCTCATGTAGTGGAGGATTTCTCTGCCCATGGCAGGGGGGTTGGAACTAGATGATCTTTAAGGTCCCTTCCAACCCTAACCATTCTATGATTCTATGATTCTATGAAAACAGGAATAAGCATTTGCAAGAAAGTCTATAGCAATATTCACTGTATAGTTAGTTTCACAAGGAATAACAAATGAAATAATCTCAAATATAATTTACTTTGAATTGTAATAGATATAGGTTATTTTTACATCATCTACAAAATCTTAACAGGAGAAATCAAGTTAACGTTCTTGGATACCACATTTCACATTCATTGTATTTATTTAAGAAACACACTTCAAGAAATACTTTGTTCATGTGATTCAGTAATTGAATTGGAATACATCTCAAGGTGGGTTTTGGAAAGAAATGAATGACAGGGAGCAACAACCACCACTATGCAATGATTTTCACAGAGGGTCACTCCCTGAACGTTTGAGACTTCTTCAGACACATCTTCAATTCTATGATGTGATGAAGCAGGATGCAAAGGTTTCGTGTATTTGCCTAGAAGTGTCATACACTTTGCAACCGAGTTAGAGCATGAAATAGTGTCTGACCAAACAGTGCACACCCAGAAAACCCAGACAAAACTCGTGTACATGTGCATACCAACTCTGCTGTGAATTAACAGTATACCAATGCTTTTAAAAAAGAAGTCCTACTGAACACAGGGTATATCCAATCTACCAACTCACAGTAAAACTGGACAAATATATAGCATCTCTTGTTACACATTAGTACATGCTAAGACGACTGCTGCCTACAGAACACTGCTTTTAGGATCTTTTTAAACTATACTCTGAGCCAGCCAGGAAAAGACAGAGTCTTCATGACAAGCCACAATGTCTTCTGGACATTGACCATGCCCAGACTCCACTTTTACTTCACTGGTGACCTGAAGCACTACTATGAGCCCTTCCAAGAGGTCTTGTTCTGTTCAGGCTTCAATTTTTATTTTTCTTTTAAGTGGTGTCAGTTTTCCCAGTGGGAACATAACAATTGGAATTTGCAGGTACAAGGTTTAATGCTAAAGCTCCAGAAGCAAACTGTAAATGTGGTGAAAGATCACTGTACACAGTAAATCTCCAGAGCCATTTCAAAGTTCCAAACTTTGCAAAAATCTCCACTTGCCTGCTCACCAATGGTCTCATACAGTGCTCTCTAGCTCTTGTCTTAGAAACAAGTAATGGCTCCCTGCTCACCTAATCTTTTCAGTGCTACTTACTACTTTACATACCTCGGTCATACTCCACTTCATCGTCTCAGTTCCAGAATGAAGAGTCCTAGTATATTAAACGCGCCTTTTGCACAAGCTGGTTCATACATCTGACAATTCAACTCAACTTTCTTTGTAGCCTTCCAAGTTCCACCATATCCTTTGGAACCAAAACTGCACTCAAGCGTACAAAATGCTAACTAACAGTTCATGTGATGTATAGAACACCACAATGAGGGTTTTGCTCTGTATTTTTTTCTCTATTCTTTCTTAATTTTTGATTCTCTATCTGATTAAAGGTTAATCAGATAAGAGAATCAAAAATTCTCTGATTAAGCTATCTGATTAAAGGTTAATCTCAGTAAACACAAAGGTCCAGTGAGGATCCGAGGACAAAGAACCCTCCTGTCCTAATCAGTGAAAAGCAAGCACCCTGACTCAAGCTGCTCCCTCTGACTGTGAGAGGAGAACTGGATAAATTATTGTCCCTGGGAGAAGCCCATCGAGAGGCGCCAGCAGGGATATTCTCACTCTGGAAACCCATGCTAACCAAAGTGGGCTACTAACTACCGGAGTATAAGGACTCTTACAGGATACAAGAGAAGAAAATTCTGGGATTGTATAAAACTTGCTATGGGGTGTTTTCTGGGTAATGCAGAGGTGTGTGCTACTGTTGTGGTTTAGGCTGCTCTGGCAACTAAACTCCTCACAGCTGCTCACTCACCCTCTCCCACCCACCGGGGATGAGGAAGGGAATTAAAGAAGAAAAGGAAAAAGAGACCCATGGGTTGAGATAAGAACAATTTACTACTACTGCTACCAATATATATATGTACGGATATGCACAAGGATAAATATATACAAACGAGTGATGTACGGTGTAATTGCTCACCATCCCTTGACCGAGGCCCGTCTCATCCCGAACTAATGATCCCGAAACAGATAAATCCCGATACCACAATCCCGGACGAGCGAGAGGCCCAAAAATAGAGAGCGAGACAGAGAAAACACTCTCAAGAGTCTGAAAGTGACAGTCCCGGAAGGGCAAAAGCCCTTCTTTCTGGCTGACCCTCACTTTTATACTGGGCATGACACTGCATGATACGGAGTACTAATTGGCCATGTTTGGCCCTCAATACTAAGTCTAAGTACAAATCATAAGGAGAGTCATGGACCCCCCATCCCGGCCATGCTCCCCCCCTATCCTGTTGTGCTCCTGCACATGGCAAGAACACGGCAGCTGAAAAGTCCTGGAGACCTCAGTGCCAACTATAAACATCAGTGCGCTGTCAGCGTTCTTCTCGGAGCAAGTCTCAGACTAAAACCAAAACACGAAGCTCTTCTAGCTGTCAAAAAGAAGAGCTAGCTCTGTCCCAGCTGAAACCAGGACAGCTACTTATTATGGGATGGGTATGGAAAGGACCAATGGTGAGAAAGAGAAAGATCAAAGCAGAGTGGGGAGAAACAAGCAATGGAAACATGGAAAAAGTGCTATCTATTCTGAGTGTGTGTGTGTATTTGAATGCCAGCAAACTTTAAGTCCAAATAGCTGGTGGGTAAGACAGGTGGTCTGAGTACCAGCAACTGGAATGGGACCACAACTCTGAGGGGCTTGTAGGTTGACTTGCCAGAAGTGGGGCACACATGGGATCTAGGAGCCAGCTGTTGGATGGACTATCAGCACCAAGCACAACATCAAGGGTGTTTTTTTTTTCCGCACTTCACCACCCCACAGAGAGTAAGCTGAGGGTGGGGGAGAAGTTGGGAGGGGATGCAGTCAGGACAGCTGAACTCAACTGTCCAAAGGGATATTCCACATGTTGTATCCTCCTGCTCAGCAATAAAACCGGAGTAGCAGAAGAAGAAGGGGTAGGGAGGAGGGAGCTGTCTTCCAAGGTGGCTAGTGCATGGAGACTGGCTGAACATTGGTCTGCCTGTCGGAGGTGGTGAGTGACTGATTGTCTTTGCATCACTTGTTTTTTTCCTCTTTTCTTCACTTAGCTAACTTTTTTTACCTTGATCCATGAGTTTTCTTGCCTTTGCTCTTCCTATTCTCTTTCCTGTCCTGCTGATGGGTGTTGGGAGGAGTAAGAAGGCATTAAAAGCAATGTAGGTCTGATAGTATAAAGTTTTGTTCATACTCTCAATTTCAGTATGCAGGCTAACCTCATGAATGCAAAATGTATGAATTGGCTGGATTTTGATTTTTTTGAAAAAGAACACATGAAGAAAACTATGTTCCTAACCCATCTATGGCAGCGTGCCAGAAAGCTTCTTGTGATGTACACTAAGAAATGCTTACGCATCTCACTACCTCCTTAAAAAAATAAACAAAAAATAAAACCCAATTTGGTCTGCAGTAGGAGATTAAGTCTTTTTTAGACTTGTTTCTCACTTAAATGTTACAATCTCACTGTTGGCAGCAACTACTAAAACATACAGAAGTTGTATGTCATCATAAATTTGGCTCGCTCTTGTGGACCAGAAGAGTTTAATATGTATATATACTCACATTCAAGGAACTGTAGTTTTCAAGCTTGCTCAGCTTCTTTGAAAACCATCTGTTTTATTCTTGGAAAATGAAACTCAATTAAACTAATAAAAACACCATGAAAAAACTGAAAACTCTTTTGCTCCAACCAAATATGACGACAGCTTGCACTGACACAGACAAAAAAGTGTATAAACAAATATTTTCCTTCATATCAAATAACTAATAAATAAATAATGAAGTGCCTGATTGGAACCAGTTATTAAGCTTGAATTGATGTCAATAATTAAGTCTTTTTCCTTGATTCTGTATATCACTTAAAAAGCAGGACTACAGCTCATTGAAATGTGAGAATTCTATTGATGCGGTGCTTTATTTATGCACTTTTTCTAAGCTATAGGAACATCAGGCCCCAGTTTTCAAAAACTTGGTTTCAATTTTAAATTGAGTTTTAAAGGAAAAAGATCAGATTTAATTTGCAGTGAACAAACACACCAAATAAAATTATCTTGCTAGTACACACATTACAAGGAAAACACAAATGTAAGAAAAAAAAAAAAGTACTTTTTCATTTTCAACTCGCTAAGCAGAAACAGAAATGAAAGAAATTACCATAATATTTCAATTTGGACAGAAAAATTTTTAGTCATAGTTAAGAAATAAAGCTAGTAATTTTAAAACGTAGTAAAAAATAACATGTTGTGAATACTCACCATACTTCTTCTAATGTAGTCTATCGCTTTTTTCATATCCATGCCTGACCAGTTATCGAGCATGTAGCAGATGCAGGAAGCACAGTACACAAACCTCATATCATTCTCACTTCCTTCCAGCACTGCACAGAAACTGCAAGAAATATTTCTCTCATTTTACACTGTTATATCAGAAAATATGAAAAGCAGTTCAAGGAATTCTGTAATTTTTCCTTTAAAAAATAGTTACTTCTATTTAAAGTATTCACATAAATATAACCCAAAGCTATGCTAGACTTTCTTTTTGGAAGACACGATTTGCTAAGCCAAGCAAAATGAATAAAACTATTAAGGTTTAGGGGCCCAGGTGACTTCACTTCCAGCAATGTAATGACACTGGTCTTTATTTATTCAACGATGTTAACGCTTACAGTCTTTCACCTATCATAGTATATACTGACGTATGAGGTACCATTTCAACATCTACTGGTTTGGGCTGAATTATTTGCCTTCCTAGAAATCTTAATAGCTCATAAGGCTTTCTTTCCTGTCTGCAACTTCAGGATCAGTTTCCCATGTATATATAAATGTAATTGTTATTACTACCATATTACTACAAATAATGAAAACCACCTTCAGTCCAGTTTTTAATTTCTTATGGCTACAATCTTTCCAAACTTTATGAATGTTTTAAAGTTGTTGTATCTGGCTTATCTAGGTACAATCCTGTGCTCTCTCAGAGACCCTTAAAATGAAGATGGATGCTGTGATTTGCTGCCTGACAAGTCTCCATTTGTTTCAAAGGGCTGGTTAGCGTATTTTGATGACTTCACCATTTGCAAGAAGCCAGCGCAATAGAGTATTTTGATGAGTCCTCCTGACAAATCTGTTCTAAAAAAAAAAAAAGAAATAAAAAAAGGTACTTCTGACTTCAAGGACAGTCTTTTAAGCATGACTATCATCATTATGACACTTCCTCTTTGACCCTGCAATTCAAGTATGTACCCTATTATCTACTTGCATAGAAAAGTCTCCAACATCTCCTGGGGAATACTTTAACCTCTCGTAACCCCTGTGGTGCCAGACCCTGCTCTCTGCAGCTCAGATAGGGATGAACTTCATCGCCCTCCAGATATGGCACAGATCATTCTGGGAAACCAGGAATCTTCTTAACATGTGACAGTACTGTGGTTTAAAATCTCACTCCATCCTCAGGTGACAACTGCACTGTATGTTATCCAGATACTTCACATCACATTGAGCTAAGGTAAGGCAGAAATTAAAACACACACATTTATTCGTGATATAAAATGAGACAATGTACTTTCCATTTTTTTTTTTGTTTGTTTTAGTTTGTGTTTCTTCACATGTGTCTTTTATTAACTAAGAGTAGCTTATACTTATACTAGGGTAACACCAGAAAAACGTCTCTTT